GGGGTCACTCAGGGGTCACTCTGGGTCACTCAGGGGTCACTCTGGGGTCACTCAGGGGTCACTCAAGGGTCACTCTGGGGTCACTCAGGACTCACTCAGGGGTCACTCAGGGGTCACTCAGGGGTCACTCAGGGGTCACTCTGGGTCACTCAGGACTCACTCAGGGGTCGCTCAGGGGTCACTCTGGGTCACTCAGGGGTCACTCTGGGGTCACTCTGGATTAAAAGGGTTAAAGGGGGGGATGGGGTCGGTGGCGGTGGGGAGGGGCGGTACCCGGGGGGGTAGGGCGGCGCCCCCTCCTCCATCCCCGGCGGCTCCAGGTGCACCAGGTGGAAGCTCCGGGCGATCTCCCGCATCTCCTCGTGCCCGAAAAGCTCCGAAAAACACGTTCGGTCTGGGGGTGAGGGGGGGAGGGGGCAGGGGACACTCACGCGTGTGCCCCACGTCCGGGAAGGTCACCAGGGCGGGGCGGCCGGGCCGCGGGGACCCCGAAACCCACGCGTGCATCACCCCGAAGGGCGTCTCCAGGAGGTGCTGGGAAGAAGGAAATCGCCCCCAAAAAACGGGATTCGGGCCCCAAATGTCGGGATCCGAGCCCCAAAAAATCGTGGTTTGCATCCCCAGGGACAGCACGAGAAGGGTGGGTCCCAAAAATGCGGTGTTTGGCTCAGGAATGGCTCAAAAGGAGGGGTTTTGTCCCGTAAAATCAGTCCCAAAATCCTTGTGTTCACACTGATTTGCCCGGTTTGGACCCCGAAGGGCATTGTTTTCATCACAAATCCACCATTTTCATCCCACCAAASCCAGGGAATCACTCCTTCATCCTCAAAATTGTCATTTTTGCCCACAGATCCATGAATTTTGCCTGAACATGCCCAACCTGCCCCAAATCCCAGGATTTAACCCTGTCATTTCTGGCTCTGACCCAAATTTTCTCCGCCCAAAAATCCCAAAAATCCCAAAAATCCCTTATTTGGTCCCAAACTTGTGTTTTTCCCAAACTGACCTAAAAATCCAGTCTTTGGCTTGAAATCCCAAATTTTAACCCTGCCATTCCTGGCTCTGACCCAGATTACTGTTTCCTCCCCCACAAGTTCCCCATTATCCCTGAAATTCCGCTCCCAAAACCCACCCCAAATTCCCCTATTTCCCCCAAATCCAGCTCCAAATCCCCTACTCCTGCCCTTTTTT